CCAATCCGGATTCCGGAGGAGAAAAAAGAGGGCCAAGATTTGCAAGGTCACTGACTAGACCTGTTCATGAGCCGGGTGGCCCGACGGGCCGGCCCGGCTCTCGGACGGGTTTGAACATGTTTATAGGTTTGCGGGCTTAAATTCAGGCTAAAAAGTCCGGTTCGCAATAAATTCGAATCGGGTTCGGGTTTTGTTAAAATAGCCCGGTCTAATCTAAAATTAGACTTAAAATGAGTTATGTGATTATATTTATTTGAATAACTTTTTTTATTTAAGAATGTAAAACTGTGTTTTAAAACGTAAAAGAAAGGGAAAAAAACCATCTTATAGGCCCATTGTTCATTTAAATAGGAAAAAAAAAACATCTGAATTTTTAATTCTAATTTGAATAAGGAAAATTGTAATTTTTTTTATTAGGTCGGGCTTCGGGCTCGGGCTTTGGGCTTTTTATCAGGGCCAGACTCGGGCCTAAGTTATAGACCCGTTGGCCGGGTCAGGCTCAGGCTCGGGCCTAGCATATTTCCATTAATAATGAATAAAAGCCCGGCCTAAACCCAACCCGGCCCAGTCCATGAATAGATCTACCACTGACCACACCAGCTAACGAACAGTTCCAAAATGCCCTTTAGAAATAGAATAAATCAAACCTCAGCTGGACATACAAGAATCTCACTAATACCAAGAAGGCAAGAGATTATCACTTTACAATCGGAAAAACAAAAAGCATTAATTGTTCAAGCCCAGATGAACCCAAATTTAAACCTTGGATCTTAGCAAATTAAATGTAACGTTGTACTCAAGGTTCATGTGTAAAGTATAAGCATTTCAAGTAGTAAATGCTGTCAATTTGGGGTTTTCCCTAAGAACCCTAAAATATTTTATCAATATATAACACCGAACATACTGAAAGACAAATAAGCCACCACCTCGACTATTACTTATTCCAATCAAAAAGCCACTTCAGCTATTACCAACCAACTGTCCCTTAATATCATCAAATTCATTCTTAATTTATTTTAATCCCGATGGATAACATCTAATTCAAATATATAAATAGGAGTGCTCATTCTGTGCTGGACGCGTGAATCCGCCAATCACAGGCGACTACGTTAGCGTATTAAATAATGCTTAATGTTAACCGGCCTTTATCCGTTGAATAGGGGTGTCCATGAAAAATTGAAAAATCAAGAAAATCGAATCACAAAATGTGGTTAATCGAACTGGTCAGTTTGATTTTGATTCGGAATTTTTAAAATATCGAAGGATTGGTTCAATTTTCGGTTAATCTATAAAAAAATCGATGGTTAATCGAATCGACCGATATATATATTTATATGTATATTTTTAATATATGTCACATATTTTCTATGTATTTTATATAAATATATATTCATTATATATAAATATATACTTATATTATATTTATAATGATCTATTTACAAATATATTATATATCATTTATTATTTATAATATAATATATATTATAAAAAACCGAAAAACCGAAGAATTGAATTGGTCAAAAACCGAAATCAAAGACCAGTTAACTGATAATACTGATTCGGTTTCGATTTGATAAAATGAAAAAAACTGATACCACCAGTTCGATTTACAAAAAGGGGCCATGGTTCGATTAACCGAACCGTGGACACCCCTACCGTTGAAGGTGTCCGGTTGAACAGGACACAGGAGGACAAAAAACTTAAAACACATTTTTAATTAACTTATTGGATGTTCGATCTCTCTCACCCAAGAGCATCATCTAGCGATCTCATTGCACACAGGCAACGGTGACTTACCGGAGGAATCCAGGGAGCTTCATTGATCGAAGTGATTCGGAACATCCGAATTCCGAAGCCAGCTGGGATGCGATCGCCAAGTGGTACATGATGTCGTGGAAGTTGACAGTCTCCATTGTCATCATCTGGAGCTGTTACGCCTTCTGTTGCGTGAAGCAACCTGGAGCGAATCAAGGCCTCGGTCGTGCCATTGTTGATGTAGAATTAGATTTTTCCCTTGTCTTAACATATACTCTGCAAAAACACCTGGATTGAAATCCCTCTCAACCATCCTCTCCCGAAATATTCCCTACACCTTAGACCTTGCTGCTCCACCCCTTATTGATTCCAAGAATAGCCTCAATTTGAGCATTGCTTGTTCAGTTAACACCAATCCTTCTCTCAATCCGAGTAACATCAAACTAACCTTTATCTAGTTTGCAAGCTTACAGCTTCACCCACATGCGTTGGCCTTCCCACAATTCCAAGCAATGGGGACAACCACTTCACCACTTTGTCATCCCCACTGGCGAATATGGCCAGTTTCTCCTTCCACCCATGGGTGCACAGAATGCAAGCTCCATAAACATATAAAGTTCGAATCTAGGTATATCTGATTCAATCTTATGCCATTCTTTTTATCAGGCAAGAGCCATTCACTTCCAACTTGAGTAATCAATTTTATTGGCAATCCGCCTGTTATGTCCAAAAATTTTTTATTGAAAAGACTGATCACCCCATAAAATGCGATTCTTCTTTTTAAAGGCCTAAATTAAGGATGTGTTTGGTTTGAAAGAAAAGTAGGAAAAGATAGAGAAACCAAACACAAAGGGTCTTGAATATGCCAAAGAGGTGAACGGGGAAGCACAAGCTAGAGCCAACATTTGTAATCTTATCCAATATACTGCTTCAGCCTCTTATCGGCAAATTGGATTCATATCTTAAATTTTCTTGCAGATAAATAAGGTTATTATGTAATTCATTTCCTGCAAGTTTTTTTTTTTTTTTAAATAAATAACAAACTTGGATTCTAAGTTCTGAACGCTAACCTGCATCATCAAGAAGCTCCTTTGACATAAGAGTAGCATTGTTCATAGTCCGGATCTCCTACCAACAAAAAACTGTTCCAACACGATGAGATATGTCATATGTGGACAGATACTGTTGGAAACATGTTGGGACAGTTTTTCTTGGGAGGAGATTCCAGTATTGTTCATGTATTTATTAAAACTTACTCTATGGTTTGTGTTTTATTAAAACATCCCCTATGGTTTGCAACTGATTTTTAGTTGAGCTTTCATTGATAATAATTTGTATTAATTGTTGATCCACCTAAACCGAGAAAAAAATGTTTAATGAAATGGACCTATGGTTGTTTAACCCACTAGTACCCCTAGCACTTCATATGAAGTTTTTAAAAGAAAAAAAAAAAAAAAAAAAACTTTGTCATAATATATAGAACTTGGTTGAAGAAGACACAAAGAGAAGAAAATCAACCAACTAATTATTTAACTCTTTTTTTGATAAAAAAGGAATTGTATGAAAAAAGCAAACAACAAGATATAAGATACAGACACAAGAACTACAGGAAAAAAACAACCACCCGACTAAACTAATTCAATTCAGGTCATGACTCATGATAGAAGTGGGGAAATTCTTTAATAATTCTACTTCAAGTATATATATTTTTCGGTTAGATTCCCGGGGAAGGCAATCACCAACCGTCTGGCCCGTTTTTCCTGTCTTCAATCAATATCGTCATTTAAGCCTTGTACCTGCAGGCTGCAGCTATATGGGGTCGGCTCCAAGAATCTATTTTTGAAATCTCCTGCTATGCCTATTCAACGTAATATTTATTGTTAAATTATGAGTATTCTTAATTAATTTTATGTGTTTTTTGTGGCCCCTTTATCTCTGTAATAGATTATTTTATTTGTTGAATTCTTGTACCAGAAAAGAAAAGAAAAGAAAAGCAAAATCCTTGCTTAACTTAGAAGTTTGAAGTTTGAAGGAGCGTCCAATTAATTTGATGATTGTAGATGAAGAGTGAAGAGAAAGAAGAATGTTTCATCATAACGAAAAACAAAAGTTGTAAAGAGGGAGACTTGTGACCTACTTTGTTTTGCACTTGAGCCGTTATCACACTATTTATGTTATGGGAAAACAAAAGATAACCCAACGAGAGAGAGCTTAGCTTCTCACTTCCCACTTCCCAAAGCCGTGAAAGATCAGCAACCTGCAACCAACCAAATATTATTAAATTTCCCCTCTCCCTCCTCTACTTTCAAAGACGGTATTGTAGAGGAGACTGGAGTATGGGACCATGGGTAATTGGGTAGCGGTAGTTGTAAGTTGTTGCCCAACAATTTCCGCCCATCTTTCAAATAACATGTTTGACTGAGCACCAGTCATCACTCACCAGTCTGGATTTCTTAATTTTTACTACCTTCACTCTACTCTCCATTCTGCTGACTACTAACCCAATAACATAATAATACAGCTCTCTATAAGCTGCTAAGCAACAGTGCTAAGTTCTCTGTTAAACAAACCAAAACAAAAAAGAAATCTATTATACTTCTCTGCGTCTGTTCATGGCAGACTGATGTTACTTTTCTGCAGTTGTTGTTAATATATTTTAGAACCTCGAACCAACATCACTCAAAATCTCAAAATCAAAAACCAAGACTCAAAAAGTTAGAAAGCAGAGCAAGACTAACGGACGATCAAAGTGAATGGGAAACAGGGGTGTGGTCAAGGTACAGAGCACGCAGAGAGAGAGAGAGGGGGGGGGGACTGTTTTCTTTCCGTCATTGGTGCATATCATGTTGCATGTCTATTGGGGGATTGATGATAGTAGGAAATCCGGACTGTTTATGTTTGACTGGGCCATCAGCTTATCCACGTCAGAGACCTCCACGAGCATCAATTCACACCCGCGGGTGACGTAAAGTCGTAAACAACTGAAAACTTTGCTCGTAACTCGTAAGCCAGTAGGAAAAGAATTCACATCTGAGGGAGCCCCACGGCATATCCCAACCGTGTAACCGTGTATTGGGAGCATCTCCCACTTACAACTTCGGAAGATGTTCCCAAGACACGCTGAGATGTGTATTATTCTCAGCAACTCAAAGGTGAGCTACAGCTACGTAAAGATTACGGACAGTGGGTCCTACATAACTTATTTACCGGCCAACTTATCAACCCAAATCAAATCCCCCCCCCCGGCCACGAGGTTCTCGCTTCTGCTTGCTGTTTCGGTGTTTCCTTCCTTTCTTCACCCTCTCCTCTCCTCTCCTCTCCTCTCTCTCTCTCTCTCTCTCTCTCTCTCTATATATATATATATAACCCCTATATATAGATACTGACACGATACCTGCATTGGTATTCAAAAGCTTCGACTTTAGTTTCTTTATTGATTCTTCAGTGTAAGGTAAAAGATTGATTTTTTCCCTTAAAATTTGTTTGTTCGGTGAGATTCAGATCTGAAATCGTTTGGTGAACACTCCCTCTTAGATATCGAGGAGTTTTCAATCGTTTTAGTTTGCTTGATGTTGAAGGTTTTGTCATCTCTTTTTTTTTTTTTTCTTTTCTAGTTGGTATCGTTTGGTGGTAAAAGGTCTCGTTTTTTGCACAGTTTCCATCTCGTTATATATAGTTCTTAGGTCCTAGTGTTTTCTTAGGATTTCAGCGATCAGAAAGAGGGAACAGAAAGTAGGGTTTTTCAGTGTAGTTCTTCTGAAGCCAGTAATCAGGTCTGTAGTTCGTGATCTGAGGATCGTGAATTTGATTTTTTCTGTTATATATGGAAATTTTTATCCTTTTGACTGTTGTATCGTGAAACTTGTTTAAGTTATTCTTATGAGGGCTAATCTGAAGTATCTGTTGTTTATTTTAGTTGGTTTTATGGAAAGAAGGCTGTTCAACAGAGTGTCTTTATTTGTAAATTCGATGCTTAGCAATTTCCTTTTTGTTTTCTTCCGGAAGTTGATTATCTAGATCTAACAGTCGTCTTTTGTGGAATATGGAGATACTCTTTTTATATTTCTTCCGGTTAATCACTTAATTGTACTTCCCTGACACCCCAAGCCAAAAATAATAATATGTTAATTATATTTGGGAGTCTAATTGGTTACAAATTTGATGCTTGGCAAGTAGAAGCTATCCTCTGAGCAATGGCGAAGGATTCTTCCAATGGAGAGAACAAAACAGTGACAAAGCCGCCTCCAACCCCATCTCCGTTGAGAAATTCTAAGTTTTTCCAGGTAGATATGCATTGTCTTATGGATTTTATAGAGAATCTTTCCAGGTGGAAATTACCCCCGTTCAGTTGACTTATACCTTTTTTATGTTTAGTGATTTTTTTTTCTGTGTCAAGTAGTTTTTTTCCTCTTATTCCCTTAACAATTATTGGTTACTGCTTCGTATTTGAATGTATATTCTTATATCTACATATATAAAATTAATATTAGTGAAGTTGATTTGAATGTTATGCATTTGCATTAGGTTCAAGTCTCATAGAAGTTGCCTATCAATAAAAATACATTTTTAAATCTATCAAAAAAAAAAAATCAAGTTGTTTTATTTATGAAATGTGGTATCACCATCATCTTTAGTTTTTTTTTATTATTAACATATAATGTTCTGATAAAATTTAGTTTGCTTAATCAGTGGTGTTTAATATCCTAATGTCATCTCAGTCTGATCTACTCAAATCCGAATATTAACAAATCAGAATTGAACCTAAGTATTTCTGATTCGATCCACTCAATTTGCAGCCGTATAGGCAGCATGCATCTCTTGCAATATGCAGCACCATCTTTGCCATAATATTCTTTCCATGCACCTTTGGATACAGAACCATGATATTGTAACTGGCAGTATGTTGAACTGGAATATTAAATGATTCTAGTTATTCAACTTCTCTGCCAATTAATTGAGACTACCCTTTTTATTGGATTATTTGTTTATTTTTTCAGCATCCAAAATGCCACTTAGAGTCAGATGGACAGTTTCAATGTCATGTTCTGTAATTCCCACGACATATCATCATATAGCTTAATGACTTGAGAAGCTCCATTGCTACCAAGTGGTAAATATTTTGCTACTAACTGGACCAATCTGTCTATAATGTGGCAAATCCAGACACCTAATCAGATAGAGACCTTCATATTAGTAATGTGTTTACTTCCCTACTTATACATCAGCCTTACATGCTACCTCCAATGTATTGGATCCATTGGAAATTTCAAATCTTTAATTGAAAGGCCACAAAGGGCTTTGTTTTGCCATATTGCTGGGGCTTTAGAGCTCAAGATTGTCCTATGAATAGGATAGAGAGAGGATTCTGTAAGTCTTATTTCTCCCTGATTATGCTTGCCTTATACAAGAGTTTCAGGCTTTTTTTTTGGATCTCTCTAAATAATTGATGTAGTTACAGCCACCAGTATGCAAGCTTCTGGTGTTTGCATATTCACCCTATATCTCATTCTTAAGCTTTTGAAAGATTATAGTTGGCATGTTTCTTGAACCAAAACTTTTGATAATTTCGTTCTTCATTTGAGATAGGTATCATTCTTTACCTGGTTATTGTTTTTCATATTATCATTTTTTATCTTAAGTGGTTCTTTCAATGTTGAATGCAGTCCAATATGAGAATTTTGGTTAGTGGAGGAGCTGGATTCATTGGTTCTCACTTAGTGGACAAACTGATGGAAAATGAAAAGAATGAGGTACATAGATTTTTCTCTTTCCTACATGCATATCCATGGTGTTGCTTGACAGGCATGTCTCTGATTCTGGTCTAATGGATGTGCCCCTGTTCCATAAAGATTACCTGAAAAAGTGCATAATCCAGTTCCAGAAATGGACGCAACTATTTTATTTTTGGTCACAGTCATTGGGTAAATGCATTGATCATATTCTTTAGGTAATTTATATGTCTGCTACTGGCTTTGTTGCTCAGGTGATAGTTGCTGATAACTACTTTACTGGTTCAAAGGACAACCTAAGAAAATGGATTGGTCATCCAAGATTTGAGCTTATTCGCCATGGTATTTCTCATCTTTTCATTTTGTGGTAATAATTGCACATTTTATGTCTGCGGGGAGAAAATTCCAGTAGAGAGTAGAGTGTATAATAGTAAAAACAGAATACAACAAAAGACAATTATTTGCTTATTGGTTCAGCACGATGTCTGTGTCTATGGGTGAAGGCAATCAGAATTGCCCACTATGGAGCCTAGAGATTATGTGAATCAAGATCACAAAGGCATTTTCTTCCCAAGAGAAACGCCCTTCCTTTAAACCAATAAGCAATTCCCCTCTTCCCAAGAAAGACACTTCTCTAAGAATATACAATAAAATTCTTTTATATATTTCCTTTGTTTTCAAGGATTTAACAGATGATTTCCCCATTTGACATCTTCCTTCAAAAATTTCTGTGTTGTTTATGCAGATGTCACAGAACCATTATTGATTGAAGTTGATCAGATATATCATCTGGCTTGCCCAGCCTCTCCAATTTTTTATAAATACAACCCTGTAAAGGTGCGCATCTCCTGCCTTTGTTTATCCCTGTTCCTTTCTCAAGATAGACACAGAACCTGTTCTATTTGTATTCCTCTGTGTTTTATTTGCACTTCTTGTTTTTTAAAGCATCTCACCAGATGCTTGTAGAAGGCATGTTCTGATTCTACCAACTTCTATATATAAAACTAAAGTATTCATTCTAAACAATAACACAATAAAATATGTGCATATGATGCAAGTCACTAGGTGATGAAATCGAGCTTAGCATTTTATGTATTAATTAATTGATATTGTACAATTGTATCGGTTGTATCACCTGTCCTGCTGATAGACATCTGAAACTGCGTAGGTGTTTCCTGTCATTAGCTTAGGCATTGCAGAATTTCCATGCCATTGACAAAATTAGACACATTTATACTTTTTATCATGAGGTTACACCTGGGAGTTCCAGGAACTGAAGAGCCCTGAGCTCTTCTTTGACCTACCCAGCCCCATTCAACCCACTTTCAAAAAAGATTGCTTGCCTGTTTTCTATTAATGTGGCATATGTTAAATAAACTGGTAATATCATTCTTACTTGTCTGCATTTTCCTCACATTTTTCTTTTTCATTTTGAAGTTCTTAGTAATTGTTTGGTTCCACATGTAATGGTTTATTAGACTTCAAAAGATGGTCTGATTGGGGTGCATATCATTGTTCAATAGACAATAAAAACAAATGTAATTGGCACGCTGAACATGTTGGGACTTGCCAAGCGAGTTGGAGCAAGGTTTAGTTCTGATCCCTTGCAATTGTTTTGATTTATGCCATAGTTACAGTGCATATTTTCACACCATGTCTGACAATCTTCCAACAGGATTTTGCTGACCTCAACTTCAGAGGTTTATGGGGATCCCCTTGAACATCCTCAGACGGAGACATATTGGGGCAACGTGAACCCTATTGGTATATTCACTTATTATTTGTACCAAATAGTACTTCAATATTATATACATAGACGACTTTACATGATAGCCACTTCAAGGTTAATTTGGGATATATTTGCCTGTTCAAAACGAAAGCAGAAGAAAATCTTTTAATTCCATTATTTGATTCCTCTGAGCAAAACACAGTAATCTTTCAGCATTTCTTTTATAAAGTTTTTTTTTATGAGGGGGAAAATTACTACTACATTCTTCTTTTTTATTTATGTTTACTTTATTTTCTTAAATTATGAAATATCATTTTGCATTCATGTTATTTCTATTTTTTTGCCTTCCTAAGCTTGCCTCTGGGACAAGATTTTATATTAGATGATATAACATTGACAATATCTATACAATCTTAGACACAGCAAAGGACTTAGTTCTGTAGCACACATAGGCTAAAAGTATGTCAAATGATATTGTTATATGTATTGCAGGAGTCAGGAGTTGCTATGATGAGGGGAAGCGTGTAGCTGAGACTTTAATGTATGATTACCACAGACAGCATGGATTAGGTAAAATATGGGATTATATTCCCAACTACGAATATGGTTTTGAGAACTGTATATCAGCTTAACAATGTTTTCTTGAAGGTAGTTTATCACTTCTCATTGTTGATGGCTTTTGTAACAGAAATACGCATTGCTAGGATCTTCAATACCTATGGACCGCGCATGAATATCGATGATGGGCGTGTTGTCAGCAATTTCATAGCTCAAGCTCTTAGGTAGACCAAATTTGATTCTACCTGTTTTTTTATCCTTTTTTTTCCCATGGGGGGATAGGCTGTATAGGACAATCAGCTACATCAGGAACTGGATAAGAGTAATATCTTGAGGGCTTTAACTCAAGGAATTTTTTTCAGGGATTGCCAACAATACATGCATATTTTTCTTATAATACATGGTTTTAGTACAACTCTTAATTGTATTACCTTCATCTATTCTCTCATAAAATACTGGTTTGGCTATGCTAATATTCATATTCCTACTTTCGACTCACGCAGAGGCGAGCCCTTGACGGTTCAAGCTCCTGGAACACAAACAAGGAGTTTTTGTTATGTCTCTGATATGGTATGCTATTCTCATTACGTTACAAAGTGGATGGAAAAACAGGATTCATGTAGCCAATCCTTGGGAAGGCTTTGTTAAGTTATGGATTTTAAGACTAGTTTCTTATCCCTTGATTGTATTTTATTTCTTTTAAAATGTTGAAGGTGGATGGTCTTATTCGACTCATGGAAGGAAATCACATTGGGCCAATAAACCTTGGGAACCCAGGTTATTTTAGAAACTATTGTTGTGCATAATCATGAGGATTGTTATGAAATTACAAGTAACTCATAGTGTAGAATGTTAATTTTTGCTTTGTTATGATAACAAAATTGCTTGTGCATCAGGTGAATTTACAATGATGGAACTTGCTGAGACAGTGAAGGAGGTCAGTTTTATATTTACTCTTGTTTACTTCTGCATAAATAACATTATACGTTTCTTGTTAATACCTATGAACCAATTGAAAAAGAATTTAATTTGTTTGTTACTAATTGAGTGGCACATGTGGTTGAATGTACAAGATGGGAGAGAAAACAAGAGATATGAGTATAGTGGGAAGTAGGGGTGCTCACAGTTTGGTTAACTGAACCGTGGGCCTATTTTTGAAACCGAACCGTAGCTGTCGGTTAACTGGTTGACCGGTTTAGTTGACTATTGGTTTTTTATATTTATAGTATATATTATAAAATATATGTAAATAAATATATAATAAAAAACTAGAAATATATATATAATATTATATTTTAAATAATAAAGAATATATTATAAATATATTTATATATATAATGCATATTTGTTAACTTATAATATATAGAAAATATATAATATACATAAATATACATATAATATATAGAAATATATGTATACTGGTCGGTTCGGTTAACTGCCGATTTTCTATATTGGTTAACCGAGACCAAAATGGTACCTTTGGTTTTTTAAAAATACCGAACCAACCGGTTTGGTGAACCAGAATTTTTGGTCCAATCTCATCAATTCAGTTAGGTTTTTTCAGTTTTTTGGTTTTTCTTGCTCACCCCTATTGGAAAGAGAGGGGGAAAATGGACTAAAATTATGATGGTGGTTGTATTAATGTGAAGCCAAGGCAAGCATCTGAATTATATGTAAAGATGGTGAGCCTAGAATACCATAATACTCATGGTTAAATATGGAAAGAGCAAAGAAACAATATAGAGAAAAATGAGGGTCTTATACAATCTTGTTTGAAAAATGGTCAAATGACTGAAAAAAAAAAACATCAATTCATGTAAATATATGGTTACATTTTTTCTCAGTATGGCATATTGGTCCAATGAAAATATATGTTGAGATGCACAAGTACTAATAAGCAATATAAGAAGTAGTATTCTTTATAAGTAAAACTAATATTTAAGATAACAAGGTGTTGGTACTAAACATTGGCCTGGAGTCCTCCGGGAACTCTTTCAAGATACTTTCTTAGTTCACCCCAGCATTGAAACACATTGGCCTTCCCCATGAACACAGTGAAGGATCTCAGAAGATTGTGGCTACCAAATGAATGTCACCACTACAGCCATAGCAGGTGCCCACTATTTTTAATATGTCAATTGAGAATGAAGCCAAAATCTTCTGATTTATAGATATCACTAAATTGCAAAGAAATGCTTCCTTTTATGTTTCCATGAAAAGAAAAGGTGAATCTCAACTGTCAGTTTTAAGATAGACTTACCTTCAATGTATCTTGTCAAACAAGTAAATAGTGTGACTTGTACAGTCCATATCACCCTGCTGAAAATTTTCTGGTTCAGGTACTAGTTTTATCAATTAAAGTGTGTATGTTTATTTGGGGGGTGGGGGGGGGGGACCAAGTAGCGCCCCTATACCTGTTCATTTGGTGCATTCATTGGTTCAAGATGCACCACCAGCAGGGTCTAAAGTATGGCACTTAATGTGGCTGTTCTAACACTCAATTTGTTGATTTGTTCAAATGGGATTATATTTCTAGTTTAAACACTCAACAATGAAGCCGAAGGGGAAGAAAACCACTGATTGTTAGGGGCCTTGAATGCTGTATGACTAAAGTACCCCATGTGCCTTGGCAGCTGATCAATCCTGACGTGAAGATAACAACGGTAGAGAACACACCAGATGATCCACGCCAGAGAAAGCCAAACATCACAAGGGCAAAGGAATTGCTGGGGTGGGAACCAAAGATCAAATTGCGTGGGGGCCTGCCTCTCATGGAGGAAGATTTCCGTCAGAGGCTTGGAATCCAGAAGAAGTGAGAATTACTACACAAAAACTGTGGGCAGCAACTGAATTTTGCAGTCAGATAGATAGATTTCTGTTGAATTTCTTCAGAGATGCATGGTATCCAATTTTCTACGGTATGGAGTTGGATGTTTCTTTTATTTTATTGTGTTATCAATATCAAGTAAATAAACTGTGGTGGGTATTTCTCTCGTGCATTCGTTTATCTGATATAATGATTAGTGGAGAATAGGCTTTTTCTAGGCCAGAAGCTATGGCTTCATGTTGCCCTTTTCTCATTTTATTATTTTTGAAATGAATGTAATAAGATTTTTTTTCTTTTTAAATTTTTAGCCAACTCTCTAGGAGATATAATGGTTTCATTGCCAAGATGGCCCTGTTTATACTGGGGCTTTTGAGGTATTAGGAATGGGCAGATCAACGGCATACAACACGGATTCTTTTTATTGGAAAAGCCCTATAGTTAACCCTTAAAATATAAGGTATTTTTTAAATAGGGCCAAGGGGTAAGTTAAGGGACGGCGGATTTGATCATCACAGAACCTTCCTGGCCGTGAGAACAGTTCTGTAAAAACCAAATCCGAAATCAGGTTAAGCAAAAGCATGGATTAACATATAAACCAAATGATTTGGGGATTAGCCTTAAAAAAGATGTATTGGCATCCTGTCAATACGATACTATACGCTCGACTGCATATTCTGTTGATTCTTTCGAACTTGCTTTCACGTATCAGCTTCTGGTTTTGTGAGGGGAGTCCCACCCATACAAAGCCAAAAACATGGGAGTTCACATATCCCCGCCGTGTATTGAGGAGTTTTCCATACATGGCGGGAATGTACTGTGAGACGTTGTGGGGCAGAAATGTGAACTCAAAACATGGCTTTTCACTGAAGCTTCGTACCCATTTGGGAATGAGAGCGCTTTTGAGACACGACTTCACACATTCGGAGCTGGGTTCCACAGAGAACTCATAAACGTTGCGTTTGCTGAAAATCAACAAAGCTAATACTAACCTTCCAAACTCAAGAAATATGATTATAAAGTATAAACTGAAGCTACTCGAGGTAGCTTGTATGGAACACGAGCGCTCAATGACCATGCCTCAATCAATCAATGCAACTCACCTCCAACGCAAAACCCTCTCAAACGGGTTCTTTTAGACCATTAGTGATTTTTTCAAAGCAACTCAACTAATATTTCAAGCTTTTCAGCCATTTTTAACCATGGTTTTTAAAACTGGATCGGACCGGAAAAACTGGGAACCGGTCAGATGACTGGTTTCGGTTTTCCTCAAAACCGTAATTTCTTCAAAAACCGTTGATTTTGATCAGTAAACCGTTGACCTGGGCGGTTAACCGTTCGAACAGTTTTGATCGTTTATTATTTTTTTATTTTTATTTTTTTTGTCAAAATGGGGCCGTTCGACCCGGTAACCAGGCCCCTGACCGGTTCGGTCTCCGGTTTGGTTTTAAAAACCATGTTCTAAACAGAGAAGGGGGCCAACATCTTAGACCGTTGGGCATTACATGTCTTGGTCTTTTGGGTAAAAATGAATAGTTTGGGCAATTACTTTTTTACCACACATTCATGGTAACATGTTATTTTTAAGAGCATCCTCAACCAAGGTTTTTAAAACTGAATCGGACAACGAACCAGTCAGGGATTTGGCTTTTGGGTCGAATGATCTGACTTTGAATTGAATGGACGGCCCATTCTGACAAAAATTAAAAAATTAAAATAAATAAATAAAAACTGGCCAAACCATTGAACGGTTCGACCACCCAGGTCAGTGATTTGCTGATCAAATCAACGGTTTTTAGGGAAATAACGGTTCTAGGGTAAAACGGAACCGGTCACCTGACCGATTCCCGGTTTTCCGATCCAATCGTCCGGTCTGGTCCGGTTTTGAAAACCATGTCCTCAACAGCCTCCTTAACAAAGCTCTTAGGTTTTGTGCTTTGAACTTTGAAGCTTAAAAATGTATTGGATTCTTATGTTTTTAAAAATAACTCTTACCAAGTTCTCTAAACACTTCACACAGCCCAAAACTCGAAATCAAAAGCTTATCCAAATGATAGGGTAAATTTTCTAAATCATCCCTTTTTAGTAGTAAAGGTTGTATTTGGATAAGTTTCAGGATTTGTTCTTTTAAAACACAGCCCCGATTTCAGTGTGCCCATTTGGTAGGGCTTTCATGCAATGGCTTATGGCTTTGCAAGGTGGACCCCACCCAAATAGCCTATAAGCCATATGAACAAGTCTTATCAAGTTTGCAATCCCTCTCCAACGTTGATGGTAATGAGCATCCCCATCCCCTTGCAAAGAAAACCTCTCCAGTTATAGTTGTGAGTTTTGTCACTGAATGCGAGGGATGCCCTCCCAGATAATACCCTTAACTTTTATGTGCTGACAGGAGCATATTTAGTCCTATACAGTTTAGCCAATTCCCTTAGGTATGTAATTTATCTACTTACAGGGTGGGATAAAACTTTTCAAGGTAAATTACCAAAAACTTACCACGAATCCCACACTTCACTAGTAAAAGAACATGACCAATTCCTCCTCCCCCTCCCCCCTCCCCTCCGCCCCAACTTTACTACCAAACAAATGGAGCCTTGATTGGACTGGTTTTGGACTGGATCCCATCCAGTCTAAAATCTATTTGGACAGATTGGATGGACCAAAAAGATATGGTGGTAGATTGGATTTGACTTGGTCCGTCCGTAATAAATTTATATTGGATTTGATTGGATTAAGCTAATATCTGATCCATTGATATAAGATAAGAATATAAGTGTCAATGGATCAGGTTTGGGTTGAAATCAATCTAAATTAAAATGAACTTGAACAAATTAGATGGTCCAAACATTGAATTGGACCGATCCAAAATGGACCAAATTATTCATTGGATTGGATTGGGCCTGGTCCATTTGCAATGGACTCACATTGGACTGGATCGAATTGGACAAAATCCAGTCCAATCGACACCCCTATATACCAGATCCAAATTTCTTACCACGTGCTTTTAAAACATAAAAGAATAGATATTCCTCAAACCTTCACTCTAAACTGATTATTTATTCTTTTTCTTGAGCAATTCTAAGCATATTTTTTCATGGATGGTGCATGCCTTGCAAATCATCATACACAACACAATACATGTGCAGTATATTGACATTTCAAGTTGGTTCCGCAACCATCAGTAGTAGTGTGTGGTATAAGACTATATGACTTGTAAGGCATACAAGATATATAAGAGAGTTAAAGAGGGTCATATTGCTTGTATTCACAACATCCCACAGCACATTCCCGCCATGTATTGGGAATATCTCCTGATGATAAGACCAGAAATGATGAAGCATCATTGGGAGATGTTCCCAATATACAGTGGGAATGTGCTGTGGGACGTTGTGAGACACCCCCTTGTGGGGGTCTGTTTTGAACTCCTTTTTATGAGCATATTAGATAGGAATCAAGGATACAAAGTCCGTTTACCAACTCATATTCTGCATTAACCAACTGATTATGGATCAATTGGCAGGATCTCTGATTCATTGGAAGTAGAGACCTAGGATCAAATCCCACTGCCACTAGAGTTGGGGGTTAAGGGGAGAGCATGGACTAACCCCACCCCCAAGAAAAAAAACACTGACCAATTACGTTGCAGATGACATGACATAACATATTAATGGCTTCAGCCTTGCAAGTGAGTCGCATTGGTGAAAAACTTCTTGACATTCCACTGCATAAAAGATGCAAACCGGATTTCCTGCCCACTACTCTTTACCAGCCTTAAATTGCAGCCACACATCGCCATCTTAGAGTTTACATCAGCCCCCCACAAGAAAGCACCCCACAACGTCGCACAGCACATCCCAGCCATGTATTAGGAACATCTCCCAATGAAGTCATGTATTGAGAACATCTGATGATAACCCCTTGTGGGGGGGCTGAGTGTGAACTTGCCACCTTGTATTATGAGATGTGTGATTGCAGTCTACCATGGGTAGGGAGGAGACCAGATCTGCTCCTCACACTTGACGCATCACAGGTTCCTCACAAGCACATCCTACCATGCATTGAAAACATCTCCCGTACTTATTAGTTATTATTCACGGGAGAGGTTCCAAATGCACGGGGATGTACTTCTGAGGCGCCCATTTTTGAGGAGCAGATCCCGCTTCGGTAGGGAGAGGGTAGAGAAAGTGAATAGGAAATTTGGGTTCTACAAGATGTGACAGCCGCATCAGACATGAGACAGGGTACCTATATTCATCCCTTGCTTTGTTCATGAATTGGGATTCCTCACAATCACATCCCACCGTGTGTATGCCATTAATCTCGACTCTAGTGTACTGAACATTGAAGGCAAATTGTGCACTTTACCTCCTTTCACATGTTATGCCTTACCAAATACCACGGCCTAAACTAAGAACCAAGAGTCCGGATCGGATCCTCACAGCGTCTATCATGGAACAGTCATGCAGGGCCAACATAGATGTCGTGAGCTAATAATCCACCATCCTTCCACCGATAGAAGAGTAAAGAACTAGCAGGATAGGATTGCAGGAGAGAGATCACTTTAACCATCTTCAGAAGACCTGAATTTTTTTTCTTTCTTTTGTTTCCTTTTTGACAAAAGAGTTTGACCACACCGGCTTCCAGTTGAGTTCATTTGGAATTTGGACAGGTCCCCGCTCCACCCCCACCCAATCCATTCACTAATTAGTGAGATTATTTTTATCAATACTTGATTAACTGTTTTGTGGGATAACACTAATTAATTAGTGGTTATTCAATTGCTAACCATGTTGATTAAGCCTATTCAGTACTTGGGACATGGTCAGACATTACAAACACGCTGAATAAATCCATAATTGTTTATCTCCATATCAGGATTCAGTGCTAGTCTAGTACAGAGGCAGAATGTTTCAACCAATCAATCAAGGTTTTCCTTTTATTTAATTCAAATATAAAGTACAGTCTAACAGAAATCCAAAGACAAGATAAAACAATGCTTTTAAATCATCTGTCTGCTCGTCTGTTTGTTTCAGGAAACCCAAAAAAATAAAAAATAAAAGAGCAAAACAGCTTACCCTCCCCCTTGCCATGGAAAGAAACCAAGTGTGCTGCTAGCAACTACATCAAGAAGTCAAAAGTTCACCTACAAAAGACAGGAAGCATCAAACGATAGATTGCTGCAAAAATAACAATAATAATAATCACAACAGAAATTACAGATAATTATAATTGGTAGACCAAACAAGTATGCCATCCACCTTCATTCACTATTGATGGAAATTAGATTTTTTGACAGGCAGTAAAATATATCAGCTATTAGAAAAGCTATACCAAATTAAATTGTTTGGCCAATAGGCATTTCAGAAGAATTTCTTCCATATTTTGGGGGGGAAGGGGAGGGAAGGTAAGAATTTCTTCCATAAATATGTACAAGTGTGCTCCATGTACAGTGAGAGGCCTATACATGAGACAAAGCATTTCTCCCCTTCTTGACAAATTAGGAATGACCCCATACTAAGTGCGGGACCATTAATCTGAATTATTTCAAATTTTTAAATTATTTATATTAGACATTTAGGTTAGGCTTTTTATTTGATTTAAGAGACTTACCATGTTTTATCTAGAGAATGACCCCATACTAAGGGGCAACTACAGTATCATTTAATTTGAAATTTACCCCACCCACACCTGAGTGAAGAGAGAGAGAGAGAGAGAGAGAGAGAGAGAGAGAATGATCCACAATCGATCCAAAAAAACAACAAAAGTATGTAACACCAGTTCTTGAAGGTGAAGGGCAATATTATATTGTGGAGGAGGGTGATTGTGGTTGATGTGGTATATGAGTTTTATTTGTTTCTATTTTTTTTATTGTATTAGTTGTTAAGGGAGATGTATGTTCTTATTGGATGGTGGATCATTTACTTGAGGTGGGTTGATAGGCAATACTTGACGGGATTTCATTTCTTAGCACCAGTTCTTGTACCCTCTTCTATTTGTTTTTTTTTTTTTCTTTTACTATCAAATATGTATACGCATGTGTGTATCTGTCTGTCTGTGCATAAGCAAAGCATTATCCTCAACTATGACAGGAAGAAATACAGTATATAACTTATGGAACAAAACAGCCAAATATGAAATGCTCCAGCAAGGACACACTCTTTTCCATTAATAAGAATTAGAATACCACAATAAATCTTACTTGGTTGGGTGTATCACTTGCACCAGGTGTTAAACTACTGAACTGACAATTTGATTAGTTTGCCTAAATAAACTTCTTTTGGATATTATATTTCCATGGGTTTATGGCCCTCCAACAAGACCTGTGTTTTTAAACTTAATTAATTCAGTGGACATATTTTATTTTCTTGCACACAACGTTTTAATACGTAATACAACCAAGATGAATTTGTCATTATAAGTCAATGCATTGCAGAGAAATGATCCACCAAAAAGGATGAGGAAATATCTAACCCCATGCATTATTATAGCGCAAACTGAGACGCTTGATGTGAATGGGCATATACAGGTATCTACGAAGGACAAACTGATGCATTCTCTAACAACTCCTTGCTAGTTGTTACTGTGACCAAAATCAAGCATAAACTCAAAAAGATAATACGCTCACATTTATATTCCACGGCCCTAGATGAAATTTCTATAAACCCTAAAATATGGAGGACTTTCAATAAAACCCAGAAAACTCTAGATCTGACATCGCAAACAAACACAGTGAAGCTAGAAGGACTTCAGACATCATCAAATGTCGGGGCTTACAGGTAAAGCAATACCCTTGAAAAGATCTGGAAACGCAGAACTCCAAAAAGCAATTATGAAAAAACATAAAAAATAATACAAAATAAAAGATAAAGGTAAAGAATATATGTATCAGTCTCTAGGGTTTGCGGTTAGTATAAAATTAGCAGCAACTTGTAGATGTACCTCTTGTGCCTCTGCACGAAAGGAGAGTTCTTCGCATCCTCCTCTGCGGAAATGGTTTCGTTGCAAAGATGATCGTATTAGGTTTTGACGAAATTTGACGAGGAGTAAAATATAAATGAAAGAAGAACGAAAAATAGTACCGGTGAGTCCAAGAGAAAACTTGGTGAGGATGGTGCCAGTGATGGCGAATCCGACCAAGAACGGCCAGTTCCGGTTCCATTCGCGCCTGAAAAATACGGGCCACGGATCGAATTTCGGCATCCTGCTTGCTGCTTTCTTCCCTCGTTGCTCTTTTCTCCCACGCTCTCCCAATGTCAGTCTTTATGGCCGCACCGCAAATCCGCAATCCTCTACAAGAGAATTTTACCGCGTTTTCAAGATGAAGCCTGAAGGATCTACAGTCTACTACTACGCTTTTGTAGCCGAAACGATCTAATTCTACTACGCTTTGGCGCAACTGTGTCAAGTCTTTAAGTGGACCATGATTAGCCCAGTTTTGTTGGCTACTTGTCTAGGAGCGATCAGGGCCGGGCCGGGCTGGTCTTAAGGGGCATAGCCCGTGCTTGAGTCCGGCCTTGCTCTTGTGCTGTAAGTGGACCATGATTAGCCCAGGTTAGCTAGCTAGAGACCTAGAGTGGTCATGGCCGGACCAGGTTTAGCATCTAAAATAAGGGGCATAGGCCGGTCCCTGGGTCTGGCCTGGCCCTCGGGGTGGGGTGGGCAAATACCACCTCTGCCCGGCCACCCCATCCTTTGATCACCAAAGTTTTAGATTTTCTCAAAAGTCAAAACGTGTTCCGTATCCAATTACTGTAGGGGTGATCATGGGCCAGGCCGACCTTTGCACTTATGATAAACACTATAGCTTAGGCCCGGGCTCAGCCCGGCCTAAGGTTCTGGGCCTAAAACATAAGCCCTAGCCTAGGCCTATATGGGCTTGGGGTGGGTCGGGTCTAATTTTGGGCCAATGTCTTTTATATATAAAACATTATATATCTATAACATTTTATATTAAATGAAATAACATGCATATAAACTTATTTTATACATTATATAATATAAACTGTACATGTCATGTTATAATATTTTTATATAAAATATATAATCTAATATAAAATAACATGTATACATATGTATACATTATACACAAAATGTGTAAGTTTAAATATATATGGGTCAGGTCGGGCTTGAAGTATTAAGTCCAAGCCCGACCCTAAAATTTGCAAGCTTGATGTGGGCCCGGGCCGGGCCTGAACACAAAACCCAAGCCCAAGCCCAGAATTTTCGGGCCGAGCTTGTGTAGGGTGGGTCGGGCCGGGCTGAAATGATCACCCCTAATTAGCTGTCAAAAATCCCACCCCAACCACGATGAAAGAGTCCGACAAGTGAATAAGGGCATGTTTGTACATCTGAAAGTGCAATAATTACATTAAGAGGTATATTGTTATTTGTGAACTTTTCTTTCCTCTGAACTCTGAATGCAGAGAATGCTATTCTGAATTCATAATTGTGAAAATTATTAAATATCCATTTTGACCCCATATATGAGAGTTTTTGTTTGTCTTTTGGGCATCATTGGAAAACAAAAAGTTGTATGATTGCACTTAAAGAGATAAGAGGAAACGAATAACCATTTTTCTCTTAAAGTTAAAAGATTCCTCTTAAGAGATAAGAGTTAAGAGGAAACAAATAGGCCCTAAGAGTGTAACTTAGCCAACCCAACCCAAGTTCAGACAATCCGAAATTTTACACAAGTTAGATTTGGAATTTCAGTCCTCAAGTTGTGTTTGGGCTTAAGGATTCAAGGTTTTTTATTTTTCAGGTTGGGCATGAGCCTAACTTTTTTGTAACCCAAATCCGATTCAAGCTGGCCCAATTATATATAGGGCAAATTTCTTAAACTACCCTTATGATTTAGCTAATTGACTAAGTGTACCCATACTGTTTGAAAATTGACTAACACTACTACTGTTTTTGACAATTGACTAACTCTACCCTTACCGTTAGCATCCGTTAACTTTCCGTTACATGTGGCATCACGTGACTGATATATTTATTAAAAATTCATAAAATACCCTTTTCACATTCATTCCTAAAACCTTTTCACATCCCTTTGACTTTTGTTCTTAAAATAACATCCCTAAAACCTTTCTTCTTTCATTTTTTATCTGTTTCAAACAAAAACCCAAGAGTAGAGATGTTGATCTCAGTTCTTGCAAAGAAATCTTAGTTCCAACATCCTCATTTCCGGCGAAAACCCAGGAACTAAGTTCCTGTTTCAAAATAAAACCCGATAAAAATTTCAAGTCTGGGGTGCAACCAATAATGGTGGTATGAGCATCGAATTATCTTCCAAGGGCTTAGAAATTACCAGTAAAATCTATAGGCACAAAATCAGTCTGGTTGGACCATTGGAAAAGATAATACCACTTACAAAAAGGTAAGTAAGAAAATTCTCCCTCACAAACCTATTTTTTCTACTCACTACTCTCACCTAGTGGTATCTGGTTACATCCAGCACATGTTAACATTGCATTTTGTGAGTGATCGATACTAATTTGCACTGGTTGGTTGTAGAGCCTAGGGTGTGTCTTTTTTGTCTTGATTTTATGAACTTCCAACTCTGAAACATAATAGAAGTCCACTCTTTGCTTGAACACACTCTCTATGTAAGTGATTTCATAACTGATTTCTGAAACAGAACTAGTTTGTGTCGGTTGGTTGCAGAGAAGATCTGCCTATGATGTGTCTTTTTTGTCTTCATTTTATGAACTTCCAACTCTGAAACAGAATTTAGGTCCATTTTTTGTCTTTTTTGTCTTGATTTTATGTCGGGTCCCGTTCCTGAACCCCAAACTACTTCCCCAACACCCTTTATAGATGCTTCCACTTGAACACATCTTGAAGGCTTCATTCTTCACATAAGGATCTATCAACGCCCATATCCGATGCTCTGTGATCATAATATGTATCTAATGCATTGAAATAACCCTCCCAATCAACTCTTGTTCCTGATAACCTCAGCGGCATACCCTCGTGGTTACATATGATTGCATAGACGCAGAGCGTCCCAATTAAGTTCATCAAGCCATAAGGAGGGAACCCATCCTAACTTCCTCTTTGGTTTGGATAAAGGATCAATGGTTCAACTGCAACTGCCACATGTGACAAAGCCAACGATACCAAAATCGAATCTTTCAGAAGTATCGACACCAAAACTTCCAATTAGAATGGGCTCCAACATAGATGATCAACATATGGAGAGATTTGAAAAATCTAATTTTCTGGCGGTTCTAGCGGTTCCGGAGAAGAGAACGAAAGGGAGAGGGAGAGATCTACAGTTCTGGCGGTTCCAAAGAAAGAACGAGCGGGAGAGGGAGATACACTTTTTCAAAATTTAAAGAAAAGTAGAGGGTAAAATAATCTTTTTCATATTTTTGTTGACACACGTTATTGACAAAGAAGGATTAGTCAATTTCCAAAAACAATAAGGGTAGTGTTAGTCAACCTACCACACTTGGACAGTTGGACCCCTATAATGGAAGGTCAGATTATAGGAGATTTATACCAAGAAGGGCCTCGGAGGGAGGAAGACAAAACCAATTATTTTTAGTATAGGATCTAGCACATAGAGCACAATGGTTGGTGTTTTGGTGGTCTAGGAGATCAAGTGAAAGGGCAAGACTCGCTTAGATGCATATGCACCTAATACCGTCGCATACGTGCCATGGTAGCTCCCTTAATCGGCAGAGAGATGAAATCATGATTTTTGAAATGTTCTCATCTGCAAAGGTAATCTTAGCGTCGGATCGGGTCAATGATGGATTATGACCAATCACAATCCAATGGCTGGTATAAATATGGTCCACGTTTTTTATCAATGAAAGCCAAGAATGGTAGTGGACATCGAAACTGAGTTGAGCAGAGGTTCCCGTTGTTGCTGTCAAATATGGAGCCAAGGGAAACAATGTACTCTTTAGTGCTTGAGGCTGACAGGTCCAACTTGCTGAGAGAAGGAAAGAAGATGTCAGAGGCCTCGGGAGTTATCCCAAGGGCAAAGGTTCTGATGGTCAAGTTAGCAGAGTCCAATGTGTTTACCTCAATGTGGGAGCCCCTTTTTATAATCGGAGTTGCCTGAGAGAAGGAGTGGTTGGGAGCAGGTGGCGGCGGTTGGTAGTGGTTGGTGATGGATGGTCAGGGTGTGTCCGATCGATGCGACATGTTAGGATCCGTAAGATGGCCAGGATCCTAACATGTCAAGATCTGTAGGTCAGCCAAAAAGAGAATATAGTATATTTGCATGGAGGCGTCGACCTTGGCTGTAGAGCTCTTCTCAACGGCTATGCAGCAACTGCTCCTCCATTTACCCTTTGTGTCAGTAAAGGACCATCCCAGGCCGAGGAGACGTGATCGTGCGGGCGTAGGCCATCCGCATCCGTTGTTCATGCCTCACAAGGCCGTTGATGTCACCCGTCGTATGGTCCGTACGTAGGATGAGCGTCGTATGTTTGTACCCAAGACAGATGTCAGGGTCGACTGAATGAAGCCATGTATGAGATGGCGTGGGGGGTCCAGTTTGACATATCCTTGAGCTGAAGTCGATGGGCGAATTGGCCCCATCTCTTGGTGTCGTTTTGTCTCCCGAGGTCGACGCCACATGGAGCCCGCCGGTTCGGGCTGTCAAGCCGGTAGGTCCACAACAGTTGGATTTGAGCTATACATTTTTCTTTAAATAAGGAGGCTGGTTGAGCAACTCTCCACCATTTTTTCAAAACCTTCCGCTACTGCGGATACCTCAGCTATCAACAAATAATCCCTTATACCTTCTTTGGTTAACATCTTTAGATAAAGAATTCCTGCCTCCAACATGTCAGCCTTGGATTCTAGTTGTGAGGCTTATAACCTTCCTAACTGGAGTACTCCTAGCAACACTCCTAATAGTGATAGGAGTGATAGTAGTGACTTCGAGAGCTCCTCTCTGACGTCTAATGTCCAAGTGTTGAGGGAGAGGGTCATGTCTCGTGAGGCTGAGCATAATCAGTAGAGTGCGGGCTTTCCCAATGAAAGTATTGGTTCCACGCAACTGAGGGTCGACGCCCCAGGGAATGTTCTTGGGTACCCTGATGTGGTGGATGTGGAAGAGGCCGAGAACCCCCACCTGAGGAGTAGGCCAAGGATAAGTGTCAAGGCGTGACGCTAGAGCATTGTCCTCGCTCTGACTTAGACGACACTCTCGGCAAGGGGCAAGTTAGCGCATTGGCCAGATGTACTACATTCAAGGGGACTATAGGGCTAGAGTCCCATGCATGGGTGATAGGTTGTGGCTTGCTCCTGAAGGGGAGGTGTAAGTCCATGAGCATTACCTTCACTTCAGGTTGCGATTTCCCTTGTACCCCCTCATTCT